TATTAAACAGTTCAGGGCGGCTGAGCCTTGTTCTAAGATGAACGGCTTAGTCATATGCCCAAAAGGAAGAGAGAAGTATTTGTGCAACCTGTTCGTGTATGCTCAATGACTGGGTCAGGCAGGTTCCATAAGATTGGACGACCTGACTTTATGTCCTATGTAAGTTGGGTATAAGGGAATAAAATATCGAGAGAGTACGAACTATTGTTTGCCAAGTTTGACTTGGGGTGGCGAGAGTACTTACCCTTGCGGTTTGGCCTGCATGAGACTGAGTGAGGCTACTACTCGGTTTAAGTGTCAGGTTGATAGGTAGTTGCTTTAAAGGCTCGCCTCGTGCTAGAGCGATAGAGGTTAGGTCAATTCCTGCATTTTCTAAGTTGACTTTTTTTTACTTAGATCGATTCTTGCATTTTCTGGGATCCTTTGCTATACTTGGCTTTGTATAAATTTCAGCAAGCTACTTTCTCTACGGGAAGCGCTGCTGAAATTTCTGCAAATCTAAGAAGTTAGTCAAATTTTGGCTTTTCAAAGTTCAGCTTGTCTAAAGTTCATATGCGACTTAGTAAAAATCTGGAAAGTTTCCTTTTGTAAATGGAGCGCTGCCCAAATTTTTGCTAAATTGTGGAGTTAGACAAAATTGGACTTTTGAAAGTCAAAGACTATCTTTGGTTTCATATTCAGGCTGATATAAATTCTGAAAAGGCACTTTTCCACGGGAAGCGCTGCCGAAATTTTCTTGATTTAGAGGAGTTAGATTATATTTTTACAGGTGACGATTCTGGCAATCCACCCTGAATAGGGGAGATCCTGCCGTTAGTCTACCTTTGCTTGGGCACTGGCTTAGGGGTAGACTTTGATTTAGTTGGTAGGTAACTTGGGTGAAAATGTGCTGTGGAGGGTCATCCCCCATATGCTGATGATTTAGCTTGGGCATTGACCTGTCTTATGGTACAGACCTTTTTTGGACATTCGATTTAGGACTTGGGCTGAACTAGCTGCAAGGATCATCATCTGTTATCACTGATAACAGGTCGATTGCCGATTTATCGGCTTACAACTCAATTCCTACTCGCTCCCCATAGTCAACCTAAAAGGCTTTAGCCCTGGTGATCTTTTTGTTTGTTAAGGGTTTCACCCGGACTTTTATTGAATGACCATTTAACAAAGGAACTGAGTATTTAATTGGGGTTGGTTGGCTGGAGGTTGGGGTTTGCATGGCTAAAGCGAGGGGTATGAGTATAGGAACTGGTTGGAGTTGACTCCGCGTAGTGAGTGGACTCTTGTCTGACTTTTGATGTGATTGCAGGTATGTTCAAAGACTTGGGGTTTTGATTGGGCTGCCCTGCGGTCGCATATATATGTATGGCTAGGAGGAGACCCACTATGACTGTGAGAAGTGATCGTCACATAATTATCCCCCTTGTGCATATATATATATGTGTCAGTGCATGTGTACCTACGTGTGGAGCTAGCGTGGCCTGAAGTGCCCACGTACTGAGGGTCAGTCGAAGGTTGGGGTGAATAGAAGGGGGAGGGGATATCCCTCGCCAATTTCTTGTTTTTTTTCCTTGTTGCGATTCATCTTGGTGGAACGATAAAGTTCTGGGCGGAAGGGTCAGCGTGTTGCTGGTGATGCACCAGACAACTCACCACCGCTCCAAACTCCCTCCTGCCCTAGGGGCCGTCTTGCCCTGCACCCGTTGGGACACCTCAGGGTGCAAAAGACGGAGAGGCCCTCAGGCCGGTTTTGCATGCGCTAACAGGCTACCCCTATTGGCTCGTGATTCAGCCAACACCTGAGCGTCGAAAGGGGACCTTTTGGCTCATAGTAGGCCATTTGGGTGTGGGCACTGCACATTGCGCCCTCATCGCGGTTCCTCACGTAGAACTGCATAGCGAGATAATATGTGTAAGTCCAGCGCCCTCGCGATATTATACTAAGTTCGCGCGCGACACTCGTCGCATCCCGCACTAAAAGAGTTCTGAGTCAGGCGGCGAGATCACGAGCGCGACACGACCTGTAAACTTGGGGTCTTGGTAACGTGAAGCGGCACGTGGGCGGAGGACTAGCTCCGGTCAGCCTTTGGGGGTCCGTGTACGGGCCTCATTATCCCGGACGCCGGGTAGCGTATGGATAGGATACCGGACCTCCTCCATGCGTGCGTCGTTTAGGCTTATCCACCCCCTTTCCATTTTAGAGGGCCATCAACTGATGGGGGTTGGAGTGAGTCTCCTTTTTGCGTTTTCATGGTTGGACGTTATAGTCCGTGGCGGCCGTTAAAGTCAAACCCCTTGATGTTCGACCGCCACGACAGCTTAAAGCTGTCTACTCAACCCCTCTGCACAGGGTGGAGAAGAGGGTGTGGTCTCCAACCGTGCACGGCGGTTGTCCAGCGTCGAGAGATTAACCCTCAAGGCATGTGTCAGCCGACACTTGAGTGTCGAATGCGACCCTTGAAATTAACGAGGGTCGCACAATTATGGGCACGACATAGTACACCATCATCGCAACTGCTTGCGTACGTCTGCATTGCGAGTCGATATGAGTTAGCCCTGCGTCCGCGCGATTTTATACTAAGTCTCGCGCGCGACACCTATCCGATTTCCACATTGGAAAGTTATGGGTTGGCTACTGAGGGACTGTCACGTTGTTCACGTTGTGTCGTTTGTGCAATGTGTGCGTGCGCGTATATTTTGTTTTTGTGTTCGTAGAGCGGTGTGCGCGTGGTGTGTGGGATGTGTCCTAGTTGACCGACGTCGAGCCACGCTTGGGACTTCAGCCCCCCAAGATGTCGGCCCGCGTGCGGGTCCGATAGGCGTATTATCGCGCGTACCCCCTATGCTACAGCGAACGAGAAACACCCTCGGCTTGTCCACCTCTGCGATTGCAACCGAGTAGCTTTCGTACTGTGGACTGGTAGCTCATCGGGAATACGCCCACCGAAGGGAGGTGACAGCTCCCGTAAGGTGGAGGTAAGTTGTGCCTCGCATAGGCCCTATCCTGTCGTAGGGGCTCGCGAGAGGTATGGCTGGCGCACTCGGCCGGAGCGGCCTAAGGAAGCTCCATTTGTGTGCTCGCGACGAGGTGGGTCCATCTCCGCGTGACGCGGCCGAGAGGGTCCCGCGCTGCCACGTGCGGTGTAGGACCGATGCGCTCGACAGGTGGCGCCGCTGCCAGGGATAACGGAAGCCTACCGTTGTCCCTGGTGGAACGACATCCGGGTAATATGAGAATGAGGGAGAACTAAGCACGTGAGCAAATAGGAGAAGAACTATGACATGGGTCATATAGTAGTCTATATGGCTGTGTGGGTATGAATGTTGATCTGATTGGTGGTTTGGTTGATGGCATGAACGAGGCGAGTATGTGAGTGAATTCTGTGATGAGAATGGGTCTTACTTAGGTGAACCAAGGGAGGTAGGAAGTAGAGAGAGAAATGTCTGCCAGGTCCAGAACGTCGGGTGCTTAGGTGGTCGGTCCGGTATGATCATGAAGGAATGGATTGCTGAGTGGAACCTTTCGTCCTATCGCTTCTTATAACAGGGGGATTGAAGCCGAAGGCAGTTAATCAAAATACCTGAGGAGATGGCGGATGGTGGGAGGAAGCTTGTAACGCTCGACGACCTCATCGATGCCCTGGATAAGCGCGAGAGGGCGCCGAGCAATGTCCCGAAGGTTGATACTTTCCACTTCAAGGGAGAACGGGTGTCCGACTGGCTGGACCTGACGGAGCAAGCACTGGTGGGGCTGTCGGACGAGCTCAAGCTCTTGCGAGTCCTAAGATATGTCCTTCATAGCCACCATCAGGAAGTGGGCAAGGTCGTGGATGCCACCAATGGTAGTTGGGCGAGGTTCAGGGACATGATGCAGAGAAAGTACAGGTTGGGGAATGGCTTGCTAACCATGGCGGATCTGGAGGCCATGAACAAGGATGACTTCTCCACGATTGGGGAGTTTGTGCACGAGTTTAAAAGGAAGGCGCGGAAGGTGCACGGGATCTCCGAAGAAACATAGTGTGCCATATTTTTGGGTCTGCTTACTAGCTCGGAGGCCTCGGAGCTGACGGGTCACGGAGGGGGAAATGAGAAACTCACCTGGGCCACTATTGACAAAGGGGTGGAAGAGGGGAGCCTGGACCAGGTGGAGCAGCATCAGGTGCGGCTGCAAAGGCGCAAGAGAAAGGAAAGGGACGCCACCGTGTCTGGGACCCCAGGGGTGAAGAGGATCGTCACGGACGTATTGGCAGCGCTGGGGTATGATAATGAGGCGGAAGTGCAAAAGAAGGGAGTGACCGTGGCCCAAGGCCGGGCATCGGGGGCAATGGAAGAGGAGGCTAGACGCGAGGACTATGGCGGAGAATAGACGGGTTCCTAGATCCTAACCAAGGCCCAGAGGAAGCAGTGGAATTTACAAGTCGGGGGTCAAGGATCCGAAAAAGGGCAGGGCCCGCAAGCGATTGTTGTGCCGCCACCGGCTACCACGACAACGTCGGCGACGGCCGGGCCGTCATGTATGGGGCCGCCGCCGGCTTGTGGGCACTGGGTGCCGCATTGTCAGCCTGCATCCTGACCCAGTTGCAATCACTGCACCTCGTGCGGGGGTAGTCAAACTTAGCCCGGGCAAATGATCCCTTATGCGAGCCCAACGGCAAGTATGGAGCCCCCGAGCTACCCTGCGACTCAGGGTCAGTTTGTGGCCCAACCACCTCCCTCCCAACAGGCCTTGCAGGCTAGCGTGGCCGGGGGAGGAAACCAAGGACAAGGCGGACAAGGCAATGGAGGCCGAAGTCAAGGGGGCCGAGGAGGTGGTGGCCGGGGCCGATGAGGAAATGGTGGGGGTCGCAGGGGTGGTTGGAATGGTCAAAGGGGCTAGGACCAAGGTGGCCGAGGCGGCCAGGGAGGGGGCCAAGGGTATGGGAGGCCCCGCTTTGATTGGCGAAATACCACCTGCTGGCATTGTGGCGATATAGGCCACACGGTGCGGTTCTGCGAGCGGCGGCGGGAGGACGAATGGTCAGGGTTAATCTCCTCTTGTATGGACGGGGACATATATGATAAGTGGGGTGAGCATATTCACCCCAGGACCCCGGGAGGAATCAGGCAAGAGGCTCTCCGGCGAGCAGCAGCGGGGCCCACAGCAACCCCGACGATGTTTAGGATGTGGCAAGAGAAGGAAGAGCTGACCTTAAGGGTCGAGGAGATTGTGGGGGATAACGAGGAGGTCAACCAGCGGCTAAAGCCAAGGACTATAAGGGAGGAGCCAATAGTCGTCGAATCGGATGATGAGGGGCAGGAAAACGAAGGAGAGCTGGCCATACTCCTCCCGGGGAGGATGGAAGATCTGCAGGAGGAAGTGGGGAGATACCAGCGGAAACTGCAAGTCCTGTGTGAAGAAGCCCGAGAGTGGGAGGCCAACCTGCCTGAGGTCTTCCTTTATGACTCCGGGCCAGAGCCTTCGCCAGGACAACAAGGGTGCCCAAGAGTGGCGACTGTAGGGACGGGCCCTAGGTCAGGTATGGCCTACAGACCCCCCACGTCGCATGGGAGGGTACCGCAGGCGGCTCGGACTAGGAGCCAAAACAAGGCCGGGCCTATCCAAGAGCCCAGTCAGGCACCCCCTCGAAAGGAGCCTGAGCCAGAACGTAGGAAAGAGGTGGTGGAGGTCCCGG